GGAATATGCCATAGATTTGAAGGGGCATAAAGATGCATCTGAGTGATTAGAGCTAACGTTTATTTCCTGCTTGCTCTATGGCAGGAACTATTCAAAGCACTCGGCATATAGGAGATCATTAATCTCATGTGCCCAAGATCACAGAGCTGGGATTCAAACACTTACACTCTAGTTCCAGAGTCTTCACTCAGAGACCCTGTGCTCCTTCTGAGTGGTTAGAGGATTTTTTTTTTTTTGAGATTTTATTTATTTATTTGACAGAGAGAGACACAGCGAGAGAGGGAACACAAGCAGGGGGGCAGGATAGGGAGAGGCAGAATCCCCACTGAGCAGGGATCCCGATGTGGGGCTCGATCCCAGGACCCTGGGATCATGACCTGAACCGAAGGCAGACGTTTAAGCAACTGAGCCACCCAGGCACCCCGATTTTTTTAAAAGTAGGTTCCACGTCCAGCATGGAGCCCAGTGTGGAGCTTAAACTCACAACCTTGAGATCAACACCTGAGCTGAGATCAAGAGTTGGACGCTTAACCGACTGTGCCGCCCAGGTGCCCCATGGTTGGAGGATATTTTGCCTGGAGAAGATTAAATGCCAGTTTGGTGCTATGAACTGAATGTTTGTGTCCCCTCAGAATTTATATGTTAAAGCCCTAAGCCCCAACAGGATGGTATTTGGTATTTGGTGTTTGAGAGCTAATTTGGTTGTGAGGGTAGAGCCTTTGTGAATGAGATTAGTGCCCTCATAGGAGAGACACATGAGAGAGATGATCTCTCTTTCTGCTACATAAAGACAGAGAGAAGCCAGCCATGTGCAAAGCAGGCAGAGGGTCCCCAAGACCCCAACCTTGCGGGCACCCTTCCGCCTCCAGCACCGGGAGAAATGTTTCTTGTTTAAACCACCCAGTCTATAGTATCTGGCATGGCAGCCCAAACTGATGAAGACAGTTGGGGAAATAATGGGTTCTCTTCAAATATTTGAAGGGCCATATATGGAAAAAGGGTTAAACCCTATTGTGTATGGACCAAAAAGATGAGAAAGAAGAAAGTGATTCTTTTCTGCCTGCTTTGTGACAGTCAGAAGTGCCCAGAGAAGAAATGGGCTTTCTGAGAGGGTATTGGGTTCTGCAGCCCTAGAGGCTAACTGCACCCAGTGTTAGTAATATGGACAGGATTTTGGCATTGAGTGGGTGGTTGCACGGGGCTCTCTATAAAATCTCTTCCAACTTTTGAGAATCTATAGCGCTGCGAGGGACAGGAGCTCAGATCCAAAGAACTAGATGTTCAGGACTCTTAACTTTTGCAACAGCTATTTTTTCCTAAATAACTTTGTTCCAGGCAGGGGGGAGCCAGGATTTGCAATTGTATATTTTAGGACTCAGCACACCTGGATACCCTTCCTCCAGAGGTTAGCTTCGGCAACAAGGATGTGTTCCCCACCCCATCCCTAATACCAGCTTAGGTGCCCCCCTCACTCGGTCTTTCCCCGACCACGTCACTTCTCATACTACACTGCATTGTCTGCTTCATCGTCAGTAATATATTAGTTTCCTAGGGCTACAGTAACAAAGTGCCACAAATGGGGGGCGGGGCGCTTAAAGTGATGGAAATGCATTGTCTCACTGTCTGGAGACTAGAAGTCCAAAATCAAGGTGTCAGCAGGGCCGGTTCCCTCTGAAGGCTCTAGGGGAGCATACCTCCCTGCCTCTTCCAGCTGCCGGTGGTTGCGGTTCCTAACCTGAGGTCCTATCACTCAAACTTCTGCCGCTGTCTTCACATAGCCTTCTCCCCTCTGCGTCTGTGTCTCTGTGTGTCTCTCTCCTCTTCTTAGAAGGACACCAGTCATGTTGGATTTAGAGTCCACCCCAATTCAGTATGACCTCATCTTAATGTAACTAGTAATATCTCCAAAGGTCCTGTATGTATATAAATCACTTGGATCTATATTTGATATTACCACAAGCAATACAAAACAAAAGACAGATTATTCCATTTCATCTAGCCTGTGCTTTTTGGCATGTTTACCAGAATCTAACTTTCGTTTCTTTCATCTCTCATACAACTTGGTTCTCTGATACTTGATTTTTTTTAAAGATTTCTTTATTTATTTGAAAGAGAGAGAGATCAAGCATGCGAGCAAGGGGAGGGGCAGACAGAGAGGGAGAATCTCCAGCAGAACCCCCTCCCAATGAGTGCCTGAGATCATGACCTGAGTGGAAATCAAGAGTTGGATGCTCAACCGAGTATCAGGCACCCCCTGATACTTGAATTCTTAATCTTGGTTGCCCTCCTAGTTTAACCCCCAAATAATGTTTCTTAGTATCAGAAAATAAAGCTTGTAAAATGTATCCCTAATCTTTTTTTTTTTAATTCAAACTTGCAACTAAAGAAAACATTGCACTATCTTTGCCTTCCAGAGCGGTGTCAGCAACCCCCAGTCTCCATTTGCTCAGATGCCAGGTGAGTACTTGAGTTCAACGAGCAGTTGATTAATTCCCTTTTGCATTCAAGTCAGGCACTGGGGCTTCCATTCTTTATAACTGCCTTACAGCACTGTAGAAATTTTACTTTTTCAATCTAGGTATTTTTTAAAATATAAAATCAGTGAAGACACACTTAATTCAGTCATTCCTGAACTCAGAGTTCATTCTGTCTTGAGGGCAGCCTTTCCATCCCTTGCCAAGGAGAAGCTTACTGAGCAGAAACAATAGCAATTAGGCCCTTGATACAATTTTAAAAAGTCTAAAATTCTGATAGATTATGCACCTGCTTTACAACAGAAGGAGAGAGACTGGTGGGCAGATGGAGGAACTACCATTTATTGGGTTCTCTCTATAGGTCAGGCACTTTGATAAGCATCTGGTCTTCATTTCAATACATATGTCTCATTAAATCCTCCTGTGGAGATGGGAAAGGGGCATTCTCATTCTTAGTAATAGGGTTGCGGACTCCCATCCACATGCACGTGCTCATGCACGCGCACGCGCGCGCGCACACACACACACACACACACACACACACACTCCTTTCAGATCCCAAACTCAGAAGTGGCTTAGGCTTTCTCAATAATTTTAGTAAGCTTCAGAGCTGGACGAGAAGAGGAATGACAGCAATAAGAGATCTCACATACCTGAACGTCTTGTTGTGTTTTCCAATCATGTTTACTATCACTGGAATCTGGTTACATCTGCTCCCTTCTATAGAAGGACATTTTTGCAGCTTTTCTTACTATCTCAAATTATCCTTCCCCTTCTTAAGGAGAAAAATATATGCATAAGAGAGCACAGGTTTTTTTCCTTGGTGGTTGTTTTTACTTGGAAATTGGAAGCGAAGACATGAGATCCTGGAAGCCTTGTTCACCTATTCCTCATTCTCAGCCTTAATGACTCCCGTGGATATAACTCATGGCATGAAACAGAATTTTATCTACTGGTATTAATTTACACTTGCACACATTTTTTTCGTCTATGGAAGTATGCTTATGATGAAACCCCTAACCGCAGCTTTCAAATTCATGAGCAGATTAGAAGTTTGGGGCTATAGAATTTAAGATGAAAGTAGAGTGAGTAGAATTTGCTGTAAGTTTCTACAGGGAGTTCTGATTTCCTCTGAATGAATGAATAAATTTACATGTAATTGTTGAACACAGTATTATACTACGGGATTTACAGCAAATGTATAAGACATAAGCTCTGCCCCATGGAGTTGGCAGGTGGATTAGAAAGAGGATTGTAACTCAGGTGAGGGAGTAGTGAGCTTAATAGAAAGGGCTACACCATGTGGCAAGGGCCAAAGTGCCATGTAGGTGGAGTAATGTGTGACTGTGTCATAATAACAAAGGAGAATGGGCTTCTGTCCCTGTGGACAAGTAAGCAGAGTGGACTGGGACAGAGACCGCAAGTGGCGCACTCTGGTTGGCGGAAGGTAATGAAAGACAAGCGCCTGCGCCCTCCTCCCGGCTCAGCCTTTTCGTGACCTCACAGAGTGTGGGTCTTAGCTAATTGGACCACATCCACCACCAGCTGGAATAATTGAACCATCCATTTTACGGAGCTTGAGTCTATGTCCCTCAACATGTTCTAAATGATAATGTGTTTCCTGCTACAGCTGAGCTACTGGATCTGAAAGGCTGTAGGAAACACCTCTCTTTCCTTATGGGACAATTTCCCTGGCCTTGCCTTAAATGAGATTCTTCTTAGCTTCAGCTTTTCCCCCTGTTTTCACCAAGGGAACCTTTCTGTACGAGGTATTCTCTTCCCAAACTCTCCCAGGGCCCAGGTGAACTGAGTCAGGGACTCTGCATGGACACAAGAGGGCAGCATGAGAAAGCCAGAAAACATTTTTTTTTTTTTGGTAGTCCTCTGACGTGGTGGCACAGTAGCTCTATCATCCCAAAGCAAGCGAGCCATTTCTTGATGCCTACTAGGTATGAAACATACGTTAGAAGGTCAGTATACAAAGAAATAGGAGAGGCATACAACCTGCCTCTGATTTGGGGTGGGGTTATAGTATCACTGTGGCTAGAGATACTGAATCTCAGATACCATGCCCAGAAACGGCCTGTTGTTAGCCGTTCTATGTATATGGAGACAGAGCTCAGACACTGGGGCAAAGACACTTCATTTGTTAGAATGTAAATGGGTGAGGGATTTCTTTTCTTTTCTCTTTACGCCCAAACTTTTCCTAGGGCAGTAATTGGAACACAGAGAGTGCATAATGTATGTTGAGTGAGTGAATGAGAAGAGTTACTGCACCATCTCAAATGAACTCATCTCCAAAGGCAGAGTGAAGGTTAAACATACTAGTTATTTGGGCTGGACCAGTTAAAAGAGGCAATGCAGCAATATTTAATGCTTTTCAAGACCTATCTATTTAAATATTTTCCTTGGTATCCGGCCTGCGTTAGAAAGACCGTTTCCCACGTGGAGAGTCTCGGCTGCCACAGATACACCCAGACTTCCCATGGGGACAGTTTTGCCCATTTGTTTTCCCTTTGGCAACAGGTTCACCAGTAATGTCAGGTTACTATGGGGTCAGAAGATCGTTCCTCTCAGACTCAGACTTCCACAACACTAAACAGTTCTCAAGTGACGTCTGCACCTCGGGCCCTGCGGCCAAGCCCTTTGCCTGCGAGGCCCCCGCAGGACAGAGCCACCCGGGCCTCCTGGATTCCTACTTCCCAGACCCCCATGGAGACCACCGGCCCCCGGGCCTGACCCCCAGCACCAGCTCTCTGCTCAGCGCCTCACCCCTGCCGCCGCTCCTGCCACCACCTTTCCCTGGGGACCCCACGACGCACTTTGTGCTTGTGAGTATGCAGGTGGTTCACGGTTAGGGAGCAAGGTGAAGTCTGGGCGTGCACGCATCTGGCGAGTCTGTGCACCTGGCAACCAGGTGGAAGCCAGATCTGGCTCTCCCTGCGCACCCCTGCGGCTGCTCCGCCAGGACACGCTCCAAGGGGGCCTCCCTCAAAGATCCACGCCAACTCTGACCGCGAGAGGGTCTGTCCAGGGGCTTGGGAGGGGACGACTATACGGCAGGGTCTATATCCATTTTGTTAGTACTCTGCTGATTTTGCCAGATGGTTCCTCCGGCACCCAAGGAAAGAGCACTGAGGTCCCATACCCACAGACTAGGCTGTAATCTGTCAGAGCAGGCACATCACTCCTTCCTCCCTCCCAGTCCCCACAACGCCCCTCCCCACAATATTTCTACCCTATAGAATCTTGTTCTCCCTCCATCCTAACAAAGAGGTGAGTTCATAAAGATCTGAAGAATACAACACCCATCTTACAGAAAACTGTAAAGCCTTCAAATACAAAGGAATGAATCTCTAAAGATGGGACTTTCGACTATGGGGGCGTAGAGGGGGGTGGGAATTAACATTATGGAGTAACTACTCCAGCCAGGAACTTCTGTGTGCCTTTGGTCATTTAACACTTGCAACAACTCAGGATATACTTGTTAAAGCCCCATTTTACAGATGAACAAAGTGAGGTACTCAGCGTCAGGAAGGTAGTAAGTGGCGCAGCCAGGGACTGAACCCAAATCTTCCCAGCTCCAAGCCCCTGGAAGCTCCTACCTCTTGGCTCAGGGAGGGGAGAAGCCCATCATGTAGTTTAGAGACCTGCTCCTTTCAGAAGTAGCCGGAGCTGACGTCCCCAGTGTGGACAGGGCATTTTAGGACCCCGTGTATTGTGAAGCTCAGAAGGAATGCAAGACATGGTACATTGGAAATGGTAAAATGCTGTACATTTGTACAGCATTGAACAACATTCTGTTGTTCCCTCATTTTACTTATTTAATGTTGTTTTCTAGGGAAAGGGATTGTAATATATCTAGGGAATTGAATGCTAGAGTTAGAAAGGAACTTAAACTCTCACTGCCAGTGTCAAACACCAGAGGGAACAGGTGCCTGGTGAGGAGGCACAGCAGAGGGAACAGCAGAGGGAGGGCACAGAGTCCACTCTCGAAGCTGTGTCCACCGGCAGCCAGTGCTGGTGAGGAAATCTGTCCACATCAGAGTATCCTCTGATGACTAACCCCAGTCACCTTTCCATTCTCCTCAGAGGGACTCGTGGGAGCAAACGGCGCCCGACGGTCTCAGCCAGGCCGACCCCGTGCCCACTGACACCCTGCAGACCCTGCCACCCAACACGGGTTGCCTCTCCCAGCTGGAGTCAGGGAGCACCGCCCCGCACAGGAGCTCGAGCTGGGGGGGCCCCCTGGCTGGGGCTCAGTCCTACTCACTGCATGCACTGGAGGATCTGTACCACGTGTCGGGGTACCCCACGCCACCCCCTTATCCTTTCACCCCTTTCATGACGATGTCCAACGACCTACCACACAAGGTGGTGCCCCTCTCCCCAGGTGAGGGGGCAGACACCGCTGGCCTTCAGGACCCTTCTTCATGGACCAAAGAAGACGGGAGCATGGCGTGGGGGTCGTATGAATGCCGCAGAGCTTACTGAGGGGCGCACCACAGGATGCCTGCCGTGCTTTTCTTTGAGCTGGGTTCGGTATTTGACAGATTGTTTTCAGGGTGTTTCCAGCTCATTCAGACCTGGATTTGCAGAATAGGCCATCGCACCACCCTTTGTAAATGGACCGTGGCATTTACTTGTACTCCTCCCTCCCACAACCCCACTGAAATACAACGTGATGTTAATTCAGGATATCAGGGACTATATTGTAGTGACACACCAGAGACTCATGTGTTGTCGGAACTTTAGTAACCCATTACATTTCTGAATTTCTGTTATCTTTGAAATATTTTTAGTGCTCATATTTTTCTTAAATTACATTAAAAAAGTTTGTGCAGATCATGAAATATACTGATTTCCCTGTTCAGTTTTTCTTAGTTATGAACTAAGTGTGTTCTGTAATAAGAGAGAAAGCATAGGATATAATACAGATTAGGGCACATAAAGCAAAACTCATTTTATACCATGTGATTTTTAAAGAGGAAAGTACTGGGGCATCTGGGGGGGCTCAGTCATTTGAGCATCCGACTTGATTTTGGCTCAGGTCATGATCTCGGGGTTGTGGAATCAAGCCCCGTGCTCAGCGCAGAATCTGCTTGGGATTCTCTCTCTCCCTCTTCCTCTGCCCCACCCCCCTTTCTAAATAAATAAATAGTCTTTTTTAAAAATTTTTTTAAAAAGGGGAAAGTATTATATACGTTTCTCTCCTTAGTGACTTGTAAACCATTTCAAATATAGCCCAGTAACAAATATAGCACCACATATAAATGCTTTATGTCTTTAAAATAGGATGAGGTCAGGAGACTATGGCTTCATAAATACATAGCTTTGACTCTGCCCTAAAGTCTAGGATGTCCAAAAATGAGTCTAATCCAAAAACCAATGTGGGCCCAAAACTTTCTTTGATCCATGGTAGCCTTAATCAAACCAGACATTGTTTCTGATGGAAAAACCTACAGTCATCAGAGTGGATTAGTAAAATGGGCGTTCTATAATCAAATAAGAATAAATAAGGAAAATGCTGAGAGCAAAACTGGGCTGTTGGCAAGAAACAACAGACTACAAAACACCAAGAAGTACAGGGGCTTTGGAGAAGGACACATGGCCAGGTGTCATGCAACCAGCATGACACACAACACATCCCATTTGAAGGAAAACCTGGCTGGTGGCTCATTGGTCCGAAACGTACAGCTCTTACCATAGAAAGGAAGAAACTGACATCTGAAGCCTCTCTCTGTCTCATGTAAGTTTGATCCCGCATAGATTTCCTTTGCCAGTTGAGTTCACAAAGTAACTCCCACCAAGAAGTGGGCCTGGCTCCAGGCCAAGCCTATCATAAAAGCCTCACACAGACCTTGACTTTTGCAGAGCATGAGTCGAGGCCCACAGGTCCCACCCCACCCCCTCTACTATTTTCCTGCCACTTTCCTTTCTATGTTCCCATGTTACATTTTCCTGACCCGTCTGGTCCCTTTTGACCCAATGCCTTTTCCTTCCATCTCCTGGGGGCCCATTGCTCTCATTTTCCACCTGGTTGTCTAAAGCCACTCAATACAGCTTCCATCACATCCTCTGTTAGAGTGTCCCATGCTCTACCTCAGCTAGGTAGGAGCCCAGAAAGATCAAATAAGGACATTAATTAACACTTAGAAGTGACTAATTTGATACTCCTCCTTGCCTGTGCCTTCATGGATATTTTCTGGTGAAGCAAATACACTCCCAATTTGTGGAGTGCCCACAGAAATGCTTGGATACAGAGGCTCCTGGGAGAGCACTCCCCAGTGGAGGTAAACTGATGGTCCCCAGACGCTGGGCTGCCTCTCCCGGGCCCCCTGCCCTACTTCCTCCCTCTCACCACACCTTGTCACAGCCTGATCTTTACTTCGCTCCGTATTAGCTCTTCACTGGAAAGGGGCAACTTCCACTGTGGGCAAGAAAACTGCTCTTTCTTAAGTCCAGTGAGACTTGAGACCTCAGTCCCGGTCCCGGGATCTTTGGCAGAGCCATCTGTCATCCAGGTCCCTGCATCCGAAAGAAGAGATCTGGGTCCCAAAAGCCATTTTTCTAAATTGGTTGTATACATTTCAAAATAATTCCAGTCATCTGCTGTTGACCATTGTTACAAAGTAGCATACAACACAGTACTGGCGTGTAGACCATCAATATGTGTCCACATAGCTTTAACTTCTGTTTGGTTATAATGCTAAATGTTAGACATGCTCATTTCCCTTAGTTTGTGCTTATCTTCTCACGGATTATGTTCATCTTCTCACAACCTAAGGACGTGCTGGCTCTCAGGTAAGGAGAGCTCAGCAACCAGACCTCAGAACAGAGGTAAATGCAGGGAGTGCAGTGCAATCCACATTCTTCTTAAAGCATCCAAGCCCTTTCACCGTGCTTCACAAAAGTGATTTACAAGAAAGGAGACATACACGGGCCCACACTGCATCTAGTGTCCATTTCAGCTACCTGGTCTAAAGGGGACAGAGGCATGGGGAGTGGTGTTAGTAATTCCAAGCGGTAGGGATGATTTTTAGGAATTCTAGTTAGCTTGACAATGTGTTTCTATATTATTACATATATTTCAATTTGGTTCAGGCTTATTGTTCTGGGAATTGACAACACTTTGTCACAAAGTGAAACCAAGCTACAAAATTGTGACATGGAAATAAATCCTATTTCTCTCCCACTCAAGTATGCTCTCTGTCCCTCTGCACACCGGGGACTTAGTGCATCTGGTCATAATAATGCATAATGCCAGCATCAGAAAAAAAGATGCGCATCCTCCTTTCCCTTTCCTTCCTTAAACCTGCTATCCTCAGGCTCATAACTTTCCTGGGGAAAGCAGGGAAAATTAGAGAACTCAGGTTCAAAACACTATCTCCTTTAGGTCCTTTAAGGTTCAAGGTAAGCAGAGACGATGATGGCAAGTTCAAATTACCCAAGCAAGCTGGCTAGATAATACTGTCAAGAAGAACCAGAAAGTGAATGTGCCCCTGTGAAAACTGCAGTATACACAATCCTCCCTGAAATCACTGGAAACAGACATTAACAGCATGTAGTTGGGAGTGTTTGTGTTCCTCTTATAATGTTATGCAAACCCCAAAGAATGAAAGAAAACCACATCTTTACCTCGTTTGTTTTATAAAGGCTCTTAAATGAGCAGTGTGACTTGCTACACCTCGGTTAATAATAGAATATAATGGTATTTTTGTGGTAGGGGAGGAAATACTCTAGTAGTCTAAAGTACTAGAATTCTCTACCAGAAATTCCACAAAGGGAAAAGAATTCCAAATCCCAGTAGAAAATACACATGTACATACGTAGGGATGTACCCACACACATATACATATATATGTATTACTAGTTGAGCACCTGGGTGGCTCAGTCAGTTAAGCGTCTGCCTTCGGCTCAGGTCGTGATCCCAGGGTCCTGGGATCGAGCCCCACATCGGGCTCCCTGCTCGGCGGGGGGTCTGCTTCTCCCTCTGCCCCTCCCCCCGCTTGTCCTGTGCTCTCACGATCTCTCCTCCCACCCCGACTTCTCTCTCTCTCTCTCTCCCTCTCGCTAGCAAAAATAAATAAAATCTTTAAAAAATAAGTATTAGTCGTATCTTTGTGCTCCTTTTTTAAATATGTAAATCTCAATAATACATTCACAAGAAATAAAACATCGGTAACACTTAAAAAGCTGAAATGACTATTGATGGATCCAAGGTTTAAATCACCTTAACATTATAGTGATTCTACCAACCACACGCCAAAATCATACTTTCTTTAGGTTCTATCTTTGGGTTCTGTCTCAAGTTTCCTTTCTTTTCAAAACATTACACTGTTCCTTTACAGACCATATTCAATAAGGACTGACCCTAGAGAGCCTAAATGCAAAATCATCCACTCTAGCTAAAGAGTGAGTCTCTGACCAAACTCATCAAGCGAGGACTCACGAATGGCTCAGATGTGTGTCTCCAGCATCGGGCTTAGTGCCCAGCATGTTATAGGTGCTCAGTAAAATCTTTGTTAAATTGAACTAAAATTATGCCACAAAAATGATTAACTCTTTAGACCCTGACTCTAGGGGCAACATCTCTCTGAGACTGACGTGTAAGAAAACCCTACTGTGTTTAGTATTTCACATTAGCCATAGTCTGTGCAAATTTTGATAGTAGTAGTGGGTAATATATTTAAGATGATTGGCTTAGTATTTTTAAATGTCTCCAAGAAGGAATCCTACTGAACTTTGACCTAGCACAGAAAAATGTTTATATATTCATTTAATATCTACATGTACTATAATATGTTGCTAGGAAATCTCATAAATAAAAGTTGTTCAAAGCTGGGTGTTATCTCTGGTGTGATTAAAACAAATATGATAAATAGATATGGAACAAGAATCCCTAAAGATCAGGCTAAATAAATAATAAGAAAATCTTCTAATATTATCTGTAAATGATGACACCATGTTATCTTTGATCTTTGATACAGAAATGTCCTCTCCTCTTAGCCTCTGATAAATAAGATGTGTGGGTTTGCAATATGCACTCTCATTGTTGGTATATTATAGGCCAAAAGAGGTGGACAGTAAAAAATCTTTACAAGTTCCAAAGGGAAGAAAATGTGGACAAAACAAATAATATTCAAGAATTAGCTTTTTAGATCTGCACCTCTGAAACAAATAATGCAATATATGTTAAAAAAAAAAAAAAGAAGAAGAAGAAGATAGCAGGAGGGGAAGAATGAAGGGGGGGAAATCGGAGGGAGAGATGATGGACTCTGAGAAACAAACTGAGGGTTCTAGAGGGGAGGAGGGTAGGGGGATGGGTTAGCCTGGTGACGGGTATTAAAAAGGGCACGTTCTGCGTGGCGCACTGGGTGTTATGCACAAACAATGAATCATGGAACACTACATCCAAAACTAATGATGTAATGTATGGTGATTAACATAACAATAAAAAATTTTAAAAAAAAGAATTAGCTTTTTGCATTAGG